ATTGCATACTTTACGGTTCAAAATGAATGTCAAATGACCCAAAATCGAAAAATAGCATGAAAAAATATTTCTTATAAATTTTGGATGAATTTGTGACGCTTTCGGTATTAGTGAGAAAATTAATTTTAATTTTTTACGTAACAAAAAAGAAGTAAAAAGAAATTTTTTAAAAAGCATTGCAAAAAACCTTCGTCTAACTTATTTTTTTTCTTTTTTTTAAAGAAAAATTCTTCTTTTGTGATATAAAGAGCGCAGTAATAAAGTCTGTGCTTTTGTTTTTAACAATAATAGACGGTTCAACCTAAAATTCATGAAACCTATTTGATTATTCAATGAATTCTCTGATTCTCTCTTATTACAATCTATTCTGATAAACAATATTCTATAAACAATATTTTAAATTTTTTAGGAAGACTAAAAAGGAAGATACCCATCAATTTTGGTAATGGTACCTATGGGTCAAAAATAGCATTTACTTTTTTTTAAAGGAATCCAAAGTTGCCAAATATGGTTGAATGGCTCATATCTTATGCATGTCATGATTAACATTACTATTGAAAATATATTACTTAAAGGACTAATTATTGTAAAGGAGTTTTCTTAAAAATCCGCCCTGAAAGGAACTTACAAGGATTAAAAAAATGTCATCGAATACAACTAAATTTGTTATTAAAGCGATTTCTTTCAATACAACGTGTAATTCTTCGCCAAAATTTTAAAGTATTATGAACAATACATACAGATGAACTATAATGAATAATTGAAATTTCTACTTATACTTCTGGATGCATTTCATGTTCCTCTCAAGAATCATACAATCTTATATTTGCCATTTTTTCATTATAATTAATTAAAAAATGGAAAGGTAATTAATTCGATATGGATCTATCACAATACTTTTGAAAATACTTCGATTGCTTAGCATCGTTTATTATACTACACTAAAATTACTATGTATACTACAAAAAATACTATAAATTAAAATGATCTGTGTGGAATGAATATTCATACATATATGCATGATTATGTATTCTTGCACGCAAATACACATCTATACATTATTTTAAATAATATTTTCAATTATCCCAAAATTGAACATTTATATTATGAAACATTTTACATACGTGGACATATACATATATGTAAATCTATGAAGAAAAATAAGGATAGGTGAAAAAATAATTTTCCTCTCCGTTTTCTTCTTCTCTGATACCATTGAAATTTTAATTCAATTTAAGCTGCTTAAATAATTGTTGATCCCACTTATATTATATATATATAATATCTACACTATGTGTGTTTCATTTATTCTATGTATGTATTTATATGATTAAATATAATATTTTAATACTCTATACATACATATATATAAACACAATTGTGTAAAGTCTATTATAAAATTGATACCATGGGGATTTTAATATAAAAATTTTATAACATAAAACAAAATTTTTTTTTTTGTTAGGGTTCTTTTTTCTATAGGTTTTCATCATAATATTTTCCTTTACATAACTGAAGAAAACATTTTTTTTAATATTTTGAAGATTCCATAAGGAATTTTTGGATAATAATAAACTACTATTCAACACGTTGTTGAAAATTTGTGTGATTATTTTATTATTTTTAATAATAAAATGATACGAGGGTTATTGTTTTTAAAAATGGCACAATATAGCAGAGCTTTTTTGGTCAATTATAATCAAATAAATTTTAATAAATTTTGCTATTTGTAATTTATTTAATTAAACTAGTATTCTAGACCTGCTCGAAAATCAAGCCGGTCTAAAATATTTTTTCTTCTTATCTCTGAAGTGAATCATCTGTTTAAAAAATTTATAAAAAGTTCAGGAGCAATAGGAAGAGTTGTAACATAAATCGTTAATTTTTTTGTCAGTTGATATTCTGAAATAAATGCTACTTTATTTATTGCTTTGAATTTTAAAAAGCATACCATTTATTTAATAAAAATTTTCAGATTTGTTTTTAACTGCTTTGTAAATTTAATAACCGTGAAAAAACTATTCTAGCATTTGTATTCTAAATTTAACGTGTGTACTCGTACACACATATTATTTGAAGAAATTATTTTTTTATATGTATGGTTCATAGTGAGTGTAAACAAAACACAACAATTGGTCTTTCTCATTGAACACAAATACATTTCTTATTTGTAAAATTGTGTTTTTTAACCACAAAATTATAATAAAATTTTGTTAGCATTATTTATAAAGATAAAGTTAAAATAAATGAAAAAGGAATTAATAATTAGTGTTGGGTCAAACCAATGGTTTTGCAAAATGCCACTTTTCTCTTCAACAAGTGAAAATACTGCTCTTAAAAGTAATCTATATTACATTTTTATTACTCTCATTCATATCTGACCATTGGTGCAGTGGTTATGGCACCGGTCCTTTAACCGAAGGGTCTCGGGTTCAAACCCCGGTCAGGTCACTATAAAAAATTATATTCAATATTATTATAACTTAATATACAATACTAATAAAAATATTATACAAGTAATTTTCAAATATTCCTAATATTCGATATTAAAAAAAACTAAGAAAAATAAATAGTAAATATTAATAACCTCAAATAATTAATATATAAATAAAAACTACGGCAGGCTAGTCACCTACCTAGTTAAACCCTATGACGCTATGAAACTAGTGCATGAGAAATCATGCACTAGCCCTATGCTCCTTCTAGGAGTGAACAAAGGAAAAAAAAAAAAAATTACTCTCATTCATATACCAAAATTTTTAAAATAATTGCATATATTTAGGATGAGACAAAAAAAAAAAACAATAGGTGCTATCGAAGTCCAGAGTTAATTGAGTTAAGATAAATAATTATATTTGTTAATGGATTTTATTTATTGTCAGCTTTCTGCATTTATATACAAAGTATAAAGTGCCGAAAATTCAGCAAAATAAACTATTTATTAATATCCAAATGTTGCTAAGATTTCTTCGGTCTTGAAATAAAAACGATATCAGAAATTTGAAAAAAATGGGTTTCAGATAAAGATTATTTCTACTAACAGTTATACTCAACTATAGGTCGCGATTGAAAAGGCCATAGATGGACAGACGAGCGGATCCACGAACTGAGTGAAACTGATAAGCACCTTTTTTCTAAAAAGGTGAATAGATGAATTAATATAATATTTGAATTTATCATATTCAAGTCTTTAACCCAGAAACATTTTAGAAACATCGATTGAAAATTGAAACTTAATAAAAGAACAATGAATAAGCAAATAAATATACAAAGATTTTTTTGGCTACCCGTGTATTTAATTTATTATCATTGTAGTAGATATTTCGTAGTAAATTTCACCATTATACAACTTTTTACCATAACTTGATCAATATTGTTATAATCAAAAGTTCATGTTATTCCAACAATGTTACCATACCATTAAACTTCATTTTTACTCATTCTTATTATTCATGTTAATTTTTGATTACTAAACGTTTTAATTTTTACCCAAAAATTAAAAATGTCGAAAAATCAGCGTTATCATCCCCACATTCATTTATTTTATACATCAATTTTTTTTCTATAATAAGATAAACAGTTCATAATTCAATAGTATGAGCATAGTATAATTATATGAATTTTTAATGTACAACTTATTTACATATAGTAAATAAAAACAAAATGATGAATCCCGTTTTTTTTTCAGTAAAAACCAAGCAACATAAAAAACTAATGCACATTGTACGAAACAATCCTTTTTCTGTACGAAACGTTAACCTAATTTGTCTTGAAATTTATTCGTATATTATTAACCACTAAAAATAAAAAAAAGGCTACACTTGAAATATATTTAAGTATAGAATAACTCAGAGATTGAGAGTTTCCAGACAATGTCTGAAATTTTATAACTGTTACAAGACTATTGACCTAACAATATTTTCCATTTACACGAAACCTGCGTGCTTATAGATATTGCCTTGCAACTTAGGAATCTCATTTTCCTAACACCTTTCGGTATTAGCGAATGCAATAGCAAACAGCATACCACGACAGCCCCTATGACAACTTATTTTTTAGATTCATGCACTTGTCATCAGTTGCATTAATTTGAATTTTTAGTTGTTTATTTTCCTTCAATAAAAGTTTGTGTTATTCGTAAAAATATCTAATGAAGTGAAAAAATAATTTTGAGATTTGTGGGTTTCAAGCACGTAATATCAAGTTATTCAACATAAACAACTAAACTGTAAAGCAGGCATTTGTTAACATTTACTCTAGTGAATTTTCTGGATCAAGACATTTTGCTTTTGGTACAATACTCGTATATTCTTAATTGTAAATATTGTTTTACTAAATAGCTTTTACAATCCCTACTTATTTTTTTGGTAATTATATCTTTGTACCTTGTTCTATTGATACAGCACATTTTAAATTCTGTCCATTAGAAATTAATCCAATATTCTTTGCAGCGAAATTTTTATAACAAATAGTGCATTGATGTTTGAATGAACTTTATTAAATTATATTGTATTTATATAACTATGATGAATTTTTATTATTTGAAAGAATTACGTCTTGTGAAAAATAATTAATTGCAAATATTTGGAATACAAAATTTTAACTTTGTTATTTTAAAATTAACAAGCTTAGACGGGTAGCGGGAAACCTATTTTAGAAATGATCAATTCTAAAGTGTGCCATAATATTAATTCGCAAATTTCCTACTGTAATATCAAATTATTAAACAATATTCAAGAACCAAAAATTCATACATTCTCAATTTTATGTGCGGCTCACATAAAAATGTTATTTTGAAAATAGTCCACCGTCCGAATAAGGTTGCCAACCCCTGATCTAATTCATTTTATGAAAATGTTTTCCTATAAGAATCCTTGAAAATTTGTTTTAATTCTATTAACAAAATTGTAAAACGTTCACTCCCCTATATTTATGCAATTTTATATATACATATTTTAAAGTAAATCAAATATTTTATTTATTGATTTTTAATTTCACAGAGACTCCACTATGGCTCCTATTACAAATAGCTCCAATAAGAAACGAAAGAGATTTAGTTGTTTTATTTTTATTAACTTTTCGAGATATAACCGCATTAAAACAGCCAATAGACAGCGAAGATACGAAAGGAGGTAAATATTTTCAAAAAAAAAACATTTCTTATACACTAATATTCGTACCTACTATAATTACATTTTATATATCTATATGTCATTGTCACCAACAAAAATTCAATATTTAAATTTAATATCTTTAAATATGGATGTCTATTTTGATTTATTTGTCAATTTCATATGCATTTAGCACACACACACATACACTCTTATTTAAAAAAAAAAACACATTATTGGCATGTTTGTAACAAAAAAAAATTTTTTTATTGGCAATTTCTTATTTATATTTTTTAATTATTTTATTTTTTTAATTAATTTACAAGACACAGTCGAAGGAGGAGGTACACAAATTGGAAAAATAATTATGAACAAAATTTTGGAACACACCTTTGAAATTTTTATATAGAAAAAAAATAAAAGATCTGTATTAGCCAGATTTAAATTACTTAAAAACCCCTTTGAAATGGGAATTTTCTACACTTTAAAAAATCTTATTAATTTTTATGTATAAATTTAACACTTTAACAAATTTTTCATTGTAAAGTTGCTATATTTGAATTGCGTATTGTAGTGATTTTTTCAACACAGTAAAATTCCTTTCATCATATTCCTTTTTTTTTCTCAAGTTAAAAAAAGTAAATATTTCCGCACTTTCGATTTTACCTTTTCTATTTCATTTATGGAACATTTAGTAAATTGTACAGAACATTTAACACAAAATATTTTCAATACATCTATCAAAATTTGTAGTCAAATTAAATTTTTTTAAAGATAGCAGCACATAATTGAAATAATTTCCATAACTATAGCGAACCAAGCTTCTCGTATATATTTTTAAACAGGAAACACCTTAATATTGACTACTTATGGTTTCTTTTCTCTTTTAAATACAATATAGTAGTTAGGAGTCAATATAGTTAGGTTTCAAAATAATAAAATACTATGTTTTGTCATGGTTTATGAAGTTTATATCACTCATTTAGGAATATTTAATACTTTTCTAAGAAATCTTACTTCTCGAAAAACTAGGGCTTCAATTTTTTTCATTTCAAATCAATTTTATTTATATGTTACGCATTTTCAATTATTGGTAACAGTTTTAAAAACTTCAAATAAAATTCCAAATTATTAAATTTGGCAATTTGATCTCCATTTGTATTTAATTAATGATTCGTTCTTAAATGTATTTTCAAAATTTTCAGAACGCACAAGTTGAAATTTTTATTTAATTTTCTATAAAATTTAATTTAACTAACACCTTGTTTGAATAATATTCCACAATTTTCATAAGAATAGGCTAGAGCGCCTATTTACTTAAACGAGTAATTCTGTAATCAAAGAGTCAATTATCGCTATTTCTTGCAAATTTACTTTTGGTGTGAAATTGATTTATTAGAATAATTATTACGACAAATATATTTACATAGGTGTAAGAATATCAGCTAAGCCAGAGTCGTAGTAAAAAAAATTTTTAAAAAAAAAGTTTTTAATTACAGAAACTTTATAAAAATATTCATTCCATATTAGGAATGGAATTTGCCTAAAAAGCTCAGAATGTAATTCTTAGGTATAACCTTTATACATGACAAATTTATGTGCTACTATTTCTCATCTCATTTAAAACAATTTTATAACATTTAATTAACCTTATATATATTTATATTTATTTATGTACATGAATATCTATGTTATATACAAAAACTATTATCTCAAAATTTTTTCAGAGTCATTTAGAATAACGATGGATCTAACATATTTACTAAGCTATTTACTTTCCTAGTCATACCTGTACCACATTTACGAACTCTATTGCATGTAAAGCAAATCTTTAGCCATTGAAATAAGGAAAATGAAAAATTGATTTTCAATAAGAATCATTTCAAATTTTTAGAGTCTTTACTAAAAATTATTTTAAAATTTTGAAATATGTATATTTTGATGAAATATTAAAGTGTTCGTTCAGAAAAGATTTGCTTGGAAAACTTATTAAAATTTTTAAGAAATTTTTTGTGTATGATATATCATGCATGTGATTCGAACACTTCAAACTCACCAACATTATGAGATATACTTTAATTCTCTCCTTCACAAAATAATCGCAACAAAAAAAAACTTCAATAAAATTTTGAACAACAAAACAGTTTACAGTTAACAGTAATCAAATTCTGAACATAACATTTTTTGATTTTTATTGTTATTTTTGTATTCTATTTTCATCAAATTCAAATGAAACTGAATGAACCAAAATAAATTTACAATTTCAAAAAAAAATATATTCCAAATATTACAGACAAAAAGTAATTAATTCACAAAAATTAATTTTCTCTCTCAAATACTTATGTATGTCAAATATCTTTTACTGTTAGCGATGCATTAATGTCAAATTATATTCTACATACTGAATTAGAAACGCATAACTCACAGAGAAACTGCAAAACAACTCTTAAATGAAATTTCTGTGATTTTCCTTTAATTTTTTTAGAGTGTTTTCTTTTTCTTTCACATTTTCTTTTTAATTTTTTTTTATTTCTTGCTTATTGTATGTGCTGTTTATCGTTACAATCGTGATATTTACAATTTTAGTTTTAGGTTTATCAAAGTTTGCAAAATTAGCGAGATCAGTAACAAGAAGTCGTCAATTCAGCGCACATTTACCAACATTGAAAGATCCAACAAAACAATCCAATTTAGGGCATGTACGTTATAAATTATTCTTATAAAATATAAATATTTTATAAAAACAAATAATTAAAATTTTTAGATGATGTCACTCAGCGCAGATATTATGCCACAATATCGTCAAGAAGCGCCAAAGACACCACCACATATATTATTACATTATTGTGCATTTAAAGCAATATGGGATTGGGTGATATTGTGTTTAACCTTTTATACAGCTATAATGGTGAAAAATTAATTTAGTTTTTTTTTTATTTAATAATATTAATATTCTAATTTCATATGATTAGGTGCCATATAATGTAGCCTTTAAAAATAAAACCTCAGAAGATGTTTCATTGTTGGTAGTTGATTCAATAGTAGATGTTATTTTCTTCATAGATATCGGTAAGATTAAGAATTTAATTTATGGGTTTTTAAGTTTAAAATTGTCAATGTTTTTGATTCGTGATAAACGATTATTTTAATGAAATTAAATTTAATTTGTTTTAATATATTTGTATAAACGGGGTAGCAATGTATAGGAACAGTGTGTAAGGATCTGTTGTATAAATCTACACTCCTGATGAGCTCAAGCACTTTGTAAAGCTCAGAAGACCGCAACTCTTCCACCTTGAGTTCGTAACTCCCTTGATGTGCCGAAGCCCCTTGACTCCCCCACAAAGTTTGCAAATATTTTCACTTTCTGAGCCTTCAGTCTGTGTCACCGATGAGATCCTAGTCAGAGTTCTTATCTAATTCTTGCGCAACCCTTGAATCGTCTTGAATCGCTTGTTGTCATTCAGCATTTTTCCGGAGCCTCGGAAGACGTACTTCAATGTCAGCCTAGCTCTCCGGTTTAACCCTTTCAAGGTTCGCGTTAACTTCGTCCATTTTCGGCAGGCAGTCCTTGTTTGATTTGTGTATCTGCATGATTACAATTTTGTTGACAAAAATTTTTGCTTTTTGCAAACATAATAATTTATTATTCAATATTGTGTTATGGAAGCTTCTTGATAAATTGACACTTTTAAATGGTAGTATCAAATATTACTTTTCAAAATTTCCGAAACCTGATATATTAGGCAGCTTAATTTTTACTTAAAAAAAAAGTCCAATTTCCATATATTATTAGTATTCTGTTAAAAATCAAAAGCGTCATTCAAAAATCTTTTTTTAATGCAATTCTTAATTGTGTCACAAAAGGATTGTAAATAGAATACATAGTATAATACTCCTGTTTTTACAAACGCATGGTTTTTGTAATAATCAAGCAAAGTTTATTTATTATTTGTATCGCAAATGAAACTACATACACAATTTAAGACAAGTAATATTTAACTATTTTTTTTTATTTTTATTTTCAGTTTTAAATTTTCATACAACATTCGTTGGCCCTGGCGGTGAAGTTGTTAGTGATCCAAAAGTGATACGAATGAACTATTTAAAATCATGGTTTATTATTGATCTATTAAGTTGTTTGCCTTATGACGTATTTAATGCCTTTGACCATGATGAAGATGGTATAGGTTCATTATTTAGTGCACTTAAAGTAGTAAGATTATTACGTTTGGGGCGGGTTGTGAGAAAATTAGATCGTTATCTAGAATATGGTGCTGCTATGCTGATATTACTTTTATGTTTTTATATGTTAGTAGCACATTGGTTAGCATGTATATGGTACTCGATTGGTAGGAGTGATGCTGATAATGGAGTAAGCCCAAAAAAAATTTCAGATTTATTTTTATTTACACTGCAAAAAATAAATTTACGATTTCTGCGAAAACTTTTTAAAAAATTATTAAATATGAAAGGACTTGCTGACATTCAGGTTTTTTCTAAATAAATTGAGAAAATAAATGTATAAATAAATAATCAAGGAAAAATTTTGATAATTTAATATTTACAATGAACTTTATCTTATTTTAAAATATTACAAATTTTTTGAAAAACTGACAAATTCTTTGACGAAAATACAACACATATGTAAATACAAAATCTTTATATTTTGTGTTGTTTGATTTTTAATAAAAAATTTTTACTTGAAAACATTTTTTTGTAATTATGCAAAATCAGTTTCCAATTTTTTACAGTGTAAATATATATAATGTATACAGTGTAATAAATAGAATTATATATGTTTATATTTAACTAAAATATATTCTTTTAAAGGTTCAATATAGTTGGTTGTGGAAATTAGCAAACGTTACACAAAATCCCTATTCCTATATTTGGTCAAACGAAACTGGTATACCAGAATTAGTTAATGGTCCGTCCAGAAAGACTATGTATGTCACAGCATTGTATTTTACAATGACTTGCATGACTTCAGTAAGTTGGTATTCTTTTAAATTAACAAAATTTAATTGTAACCAAAGTATATAGAAAGGATTTTAAAACGTAAATTAATTTACTAATTGTATAGTATATATTAGCATATAACTTTAGAGTAAATAATAATATAAATATATGTTATTAAATTCTTTATAGTACATGTCTTTAATATACTATTAATATATATATATTATATTAAAAACATATATTTATATTAATTATATAATTATATTATATTAATGACATGGTTAGAATACGTTATACATACGTGTATTTATAATACGTTAATTTAACACGTATAATTAATATACGTTAATATACATATATACGTGTTTATATTTCTCATGTATTTTTTTCAATTTTTTGAATACCAGTTTTTTTGTAAATGATGTTTTGTCGTTTTTTACATAAAATTACATATAAGTATTACATGTAATTACATAAGTATTCAAAAACTTGAAGAAGGTTTTGAATAAAGAATTTTCTGTCATGTTTTATATGAAATTAGTCTAGTATATTATATTTTACTCTATGGGACATTATTTTGTGTAGGCACATAAAATAATAATACATATTTGAACTATATAAAATTTTTGTCTTCGCTTTGTTCTTTCTTTCTCTCTTTTTTCTGTATTTTCTTTTTATTATTTATTTTAGGTTGGATTCGGAAACGTTGCTGCTGAGACGGACAACGAGAAGGTGTTCACCATCTGCATGATGATTATTGCAGGTGCTGTGTTTGACACGTTCCGTTGCCACGTCATTTATTAGTTATCATCAAAAAATGCTCTCTAAAATTAATATGAAAAAATATACAAAGCATAATTCACTTACGAAATAAATAAAATTTTTAATTAGAAACTGCTAGAATATAATAAGTGCTACTAAATTACTTAAATATGTTTAAAAACATATATAATTTTAATAAACTTCATTTTTAATCTAGAAACATATTTAATTATAAATTAAAATGTGAAACTTAAAAAATTGGTTACAAAAATTTATAAAGAAAATGTGTTTATTAAAACAATCATGCATATTATGTGCATTTAATATTGTACACATCAAAGCTAATACTTTATTAGTAACCAATTTTAATATTGTTTCAAAGTAAGTTCTTGTTTCCTAAGAAATATCATTTACAATTTCATTTAACATAGAATATTGCAAAATTAAATACTAAAAATTTATAATAAATGCTAAAACATTTTTATCCAAAAACATATACAATTAAAATCAATATGATTCACTTATTACATAAATGAAGGAACTCATATTCCGCATATAAACGTTCTTTAATTTTACTTATTTTAACTTGACAACGTGTTAATCCAATTCTTGCAAGTAAACTCCATTTAAAAAAATAATCAGACCATATAGCATACGCGATACGATAAGTGAAGTTATATTGTGATAGCACCGAATTTCGGATGTCGAGATTTCGGTGAACGCACTTGTCCATAGTAGGGAAGCGTAAATAAACTATTTTTAGAGATATGTCGGTCTATCGGTTTATCGTCGGTCGCATATAAAGAGAAATAATTAAGCAATTTCCTTGAAATTTAAATGTTAAATTCGGCGTGTTAAAAAAATAAATCTGCAAATTTTTCGAAAAGATCAGTTCTCGGAAATCGAACTGTTTGTCGATTTTACATTTTTTACCATATCTACGGGACAAATTGTTGGATTTTCTTGAATATTTGAGTTCTGGGAGTTACCGAAAATAACAGGTGAACTTTTCAGGGAATTCAGCTTAACACAAAGCGAAATTCTACTAAGAGCCAAATTTACACTTTCACTAACTAAGGTTCACTAAACTAAGTAAATAGCAAGTTTAAACAGGTTCAGCTTAAAATTAAACTTTTTTTTTTCTTTGGTTGAACTCGCAATTATGGGAATAAAACTCTTATTCAATAATATTTCATAGAATTATTCCTTTATTTGAATTCAAAAATTAAGCAAGATTTAATTACTATATTCAACTGAACCGATAAAATACAGAAAATCAAGTGATGGATTTAAATTTACTTGAAAAACACATGTTGCTGTATTTTTACTCAAAATTATTAACTATTTTTTGTGATGAGAAAAAACGAGTTCATAAATCTATAATTTAGTGCGGGATATAGTTAGGGTAGTCATAGATCCCCACATACATAATATTTAAAATATTTGATTTGATACACATTTCAAAGTGAAGCGTTCATATTCTTTTGTGTGAATATAATTTTAGGTTTTTTAATACTCTACAGAATTATTTATAAAATACGTATATATTGACGCCAAATTTTACTATTAATTATGATCTTCTTCTATCTTATGTCCTACTTAACAATGTTGTAGATACTAAAATAAACTATAATTAAATTTCCTTAAACGAACATTACATTGAACATGTACTTACACTATTTTACTATTTATGTCGTACGTCATAAAATAAATGATGATAAATAAAGATGAAGTTTATGTTTGCAGCAATTGTTATGAAATGAAATATTAAATAAAGAGCATTTTAAACTTAAACAGCAAACTCATAGAGTTCAAACATCGTTTATTTATGAATCAATGGTTTTCCAAAGAAAAACTGGAATAAAATCTTTTGCTGAAATTTCTCTGAATTTTTTGCTTTTCCTAAATACAGGAAATATTAAACTATATCCATAATATGTTATGAGCTAACAATACAATATATATTATAAGTGTTATATAATGGGAATAATTTTTCCATTTAGCTTTCTTTTATATTACGTTATATGAATTCGCAAGTCTTTTGGGTGTACCACGTATATGGGTTATATACTCTGTATACTCAAATTATATTTTTCTCAAGTTTTATTCATTTATTGCTTCCGTTTTCTCACACTGCAAAAATCGCTACACTGTCTACCACATAGAAAACAACATTACATTTCTCATGCTTCAAATAGTTTTATTTTTACAATTTATAAGTGTGTAAGTAAGTATTTTCTTTATAACAAATGATATCAAAACCAAAACCTCAGAACTAAATTGACACGAATAAAAAGTCACAGTTTTCTAGTGAAATACGATTTAGTGAAAATTTGAATATTTTATTTCTTTTTGAGAATGTCAAAACACATATTTGAAGTCTTTTTTTCATAATATTATAGCTTAACTCGAAAAAATATGCAGCTACAATTAAAAAAACAAATTTTTTGAATAGTTTTTTGCCTAGACTCTAAAATGTATTAAAAAATTTTATCAGATTTCAAAATATACGCACTATTCTCTCAGTAAGATATGTTACAATTTTGAATCATTTACATACATACAACAAATACACACAATTTTATACACAAAATTTTATCTCATTATATTTTCTGAAATTGTAATTGTAAATGATTTGAAAGTCATTTATTTCATTCAAACTTACTATAATGAATACATAAGTGATAATACCTAATTCAGCCATTATTTGAATTTAAATTTTTATTGAATAAAAATATAATATGCAAATAATATTTTTAAGGTTATAAAATGTTGAATTAAGTGTTACCACATTGTAGCATTTATAATATTCGCAGTAAAAGAGAGCAGCTTGGATCCGTTTTACGTATCTAGTAAAAATGCTGATTTATGTAAATTTTTTTGAAAAAAAAAAATAAAAAAAATAAGAATATTTTATAACTTTTTTTACATACACAGAAAATAAAAACACATTTATATTAATTTTAATAAATATTAAATTAAATAATTTTACTATATATATATACATACATGCAGCATTATTATATGCTACAATATTTGGTCATGTAACAACAATTATACAACAGATGACATCGGCCACTGCAAAGTATCATGATATGTTGAATAATGTAAGAGAATTTATGAAATTACACGAAGTGCCAAAAGCACTTAGTGAACGTGTAATGGATTATGTAGTATCAACATGGGCAATGACAAAGGGATTAGACACCGAAAAGGTTTGAACGTTTTAAAATATTTTTCATCTATTTTTATTCCCCAATCAATGATTGCAAATAGTTTTTAATTACTTATTAAAGGCGAGATTTTAACTATAGGTTTTAACTATATATTTGTTATTTTTTTGCATAGAATTTTTTTAGATTCTGTATATTATTTCGTAAAAATTGTAATAAGTCCCTGATGTTAAATAATCATTTTTGTTTTTATATAAGATAAATTAAAGATTTTTTTTAGGTACTCAATTATTGTCCAAAAGATATGAAGGCCGATATCTGTGTTCATTTAAATCGTAAAGTATTCAATGAACACCCCGCATTTCGTTTAGCGTCTGATGGTTGTTTACGCGCATTAGCAATGCATTTCATGATGTCACATTCAGCACCTGGTGATTTATTATATCATACTGGTGAAAGTATAGACAGTTTATGCTTTATTGTTACTGGAAGTTTAGAAGTAATACAAGATGATGAAGTTGTAGCAATATTAGGTATATATATCGGAATACTTATACGTATATGTTCCATAATTTGATTATTTTAAATATATAATTTCATTATAACAATTTTAATAAAAAAAAACTTAATGCTTTCATTTTCATATTTGCAATCATAGGTAAAGGTGATGTCTTTGGAGACCAATTTTGGAAAGATTCCGCTGTTGGTCAAAGCGCTGCTAATGTACGTGCATTAACATATTGTGATTTGCATGCCATTAAACGTGATAAACTACTAGAAGTTCTGGATTTCTATTCAGCATTTGCTAATAGTTTTGCACGAAATTTGGTGCTTACTTATAATTTACGACATCGTATGATATTTCGCAAAGTGGCTGATGTAAAACGTGAAAAAGAATTAGCAGAACGTAGAAAAAATGAACCACAATTACCGCAAAATCAAGATCATTTAGTAAGAAAAATTTTTTCAAAATTCCGCCGAACGCCACAACATATAGGCGGTACCTTAAAAGAAGGTGCGCAAAGTGATTTAGAAAAAGGTGATTCAGAAGGTGACAAAACAAAGGTAAGATTTATAGCAGCCTTTTTTATTCCTGTAAGAATTGTCTGTTGTTGCTTCTTTTCTAATTTTTAATATGTATATAAAATTAAACACAAAAAAAAAAACCAATTTTTTAAATAAAATTTTTTGATTTTGTTCAAAATTTTTTTACATATAAAATGCATGTTTTGATGTATATGCTTTTGATATCCACACGTATATATATTTGCATTTATATGTGCGTGAATAAACAACACACTTTCATCTGTCATTCATTCAAGGACGCATTAACAAAGAACGCAAATAAAAAATAGTTTAAAAGACGAGTCACATCTGACAATATGCAAAAAAACACGTGTAAGGGGTTCTTAAAATAATTTTTTTGTAGAAAATGGCCAATAAATAAAACAATTAAGAAAATATTTTAGTCAAAAATATTTCTGTCGTTTAGATCTTCATCAACTTAATTTATTCAATAATACAATTCTAATTGCTGAATAAGTCAAGTCTCTTTTATATTTTTTAGAAAAGAGTAGCTTGTACACACGGTCTGTGTCAGTCAATTAAAATTAAAAATAAAGTACACGATTTGTCAGTCAGACCGACTCTGACTGACTGACAAATCTCTCTAAAAAAAGTGTATTTACGTTTCCATACTATGAGCGTTTCCACCGAAAACTCGACCCCCAAAATTGTGATGCTATCCAACACCTACCTTATTGTAAATCTACCGCATTGTCATTGTAATGAGCAAAAGGCGTAAACATAATGAAATCAGTTATGAAAGTTCTCATTTTAATAAGCATGCTTTCAAAAACAAAAAAAAAAGTGCAATTAAAATGATTTTTTAATATTTCAATATTGAAAAAAGGCTGTAAAGTACCGCGCGTGTTTATACCCGTACGAACGTATGTTCGAAGGGTATACTAAATTTGCTTTACCGTTTGTAACGCTAAGAAATTACGGTCTTAGATATAAACTCAAATGTATGTTTTTGATCAGCGTCAAATTCTGAGATGATTTAACTTTGTCCGTCCGTCCGTCCCAATGATAACTCGAAAACTAATTGAGCTAAGTTCACCAAATTTTCACAAATGATTTTTTGTAATAAGCGCCAGAACCCTATTTAAATTGGACATGATCGTGTTACCGGTTCGGGTAGCTGCCATGCAACTTCAAAATTTATTTGGAAATATCTCAGAAACTATAAAAGTTGCGGTATTGAAGTTTCACACAAACGAATATATTAGCAGGTCCAATGTGTCTCATAAAAGTCGTTAAAATTACTTGGCTCCCTCTGGTAGTTGTCATACAACTTCAATAGTAGTTTGTCATAGTCTGTCCAATAGTCAGTTATGGCATATTTATTCGCACATGGGATAACAAATTCGTAATGGTATCACAGAGGTCAACTCTATTTTTTCTCGTTTATTAATTACACTTGGACAGTAATTGTCGACAAATCTTATAATTTTATCAATTGTAATACAAAATTATCTATTGTTAACGGATATTATTTATATAATTAAATAATTTTTAAGATTCTTAATAAAAATATGTATACAGCTTTGAATTGTTCTTCCATCATACTTTGATTGAAGTGAAAATTAAAAAAAAAAATTAACTATAAACTAGTAATTTTACTATAAAAGGTTTTTTACTACACAGACATTTACACAAAACAGGAATCACAAAAATAACAATGCACAATTTTAAAAGGCTCTTCAAATTGGAGTATAATTATTTTTATTACACCAAACCCAATTTAATTTAATTTTATTACAATATTTTTTAAAGAATTTTTGTAAAAATTTTGAAATTTGAATAAATTTTTTATAAATTTTACTTCATTATTCTTTTATCATTTATTTTTGTAATTTTTTTACATTCTATGATTTTCCGGAAAACGCCATTTTAAAAGTTTCTTGGAATAGTTCTAATTTAGAGTTCTCAAAATAGTTCTAAATTATCTATTGCTAATTTAGAAAATCTGATGTGATCAGTCTATAACCGTCCGCAATGTGCCTAGCTTAATAAAATTGTCACAGAAGATTTTGAAGCTTTGTGAACACTTCCTTTCAATTGCTTAATAAACGAAATTAGCGAGCCTTTAGTTAATGTACCTAGAAAAGTGTAAATTTGGCTCTTAGTAAAATTTCGCTTTGTTGAATTTCGCCTACCGAATCCCCTGAAACGTTTACCAGTTAGTTTCGGTAACAGCCACAGTTCAAATATCAAATTTCAAGAAATTCCTTCAATCATTTCGTTGGTACGGTAAAAAATTTAAAAGCGGCCCCAGTTTGGTTTCCCCTGATCTTGCCAAAAAATTTACAGATCCATTTTTTAAAACGCCGAATTTAAATGTTAAATTTCAAAGAATTTGATTGATTATTTCTCTTTATATACGCAAAAATGTAAGATTGGCCCGAAAAAAGTCAAGTTCCCGTCTAATAAATTCCAAAAGTTAGTCAATTTGTGCCACAGCCTTTGTTAGTTTTGCCAGTAAAACGTGTTAAATGTCTTTAAAAGCCATATGAAAAATGTATAATATACACTAAATATTTTTAGTTAAGGATGTATAATAAGAAACTTGTATGATTTTGTATGCGAAACCCCGTGTATGTACACGTATATTAATAGAAATATATACATATACATGACTTGATACATATAATAGGAAAGTTATTAAATACATTATTAAATATATAAATTTAAATTCAAATCCATAATTAAATACATATTATATACGACAATAAATGGGCAAGAAACTGGTAAAATGGCGTACCTGGCTCAATTTTTAAAAAATTTTTTTTTCGTAATTTTATTTTTTCATTTGAAATTTTTTTTTACTTTTGTTTTAATTGAATTGATGTTAAATGTTGGTTTTCTTTATATTCTTTCTGGTATTGCATGCCGCAAGGAATTGTATGAATTCAGTGAAATATGCGAAATTGAACCAGAATTGTATTTTAGTAGTGCAATAAAAACAAAAGCTGAAACAATCACTACTTATATTTATGACACATCTACCGCTGTAATATTTATTTCAAATATTTATAACAGAAAAGAGATAAAATTTTTAATTATTCATTTTATTTTTTATTTTGTTCTCGTTCTTTTTTTCATATTTTGCATGTTTTTACACTTTATTTTTTTTCTATACTCCTTTCAAAATTCTTATCTGTTGATGATTTTCGAAAAATACTTATGCGAATCGTTTCTATGTTTCAAAACTTTAATTTCATGCAATGTTCGTGTACTATATTGATGTTCTATAATTGTGGTGATGTAATTCCGTTCGGTGCTTCCGATGTCATCCAAAATATTATTTGTAAATAAACTAAACTGAATAAAAACAAATTATGTTAATTGTAATTCATGGTTTCAAATCAAATTGTGTACTACAAAATAAAAAAACAAACAATAAAATTCGCATACTAATCGAAATACTTTTTAAATTCCATAACACACACTTACGATATATTTCTGTTAATAAAACGATATACCCAAGAAGCTTCCAGCAAAACTAACTTTAACTGAAGATTCCCGTGTATTAACAACAACAGCGGCAGCTCCCTCACCGTCTCCTTCCCCGTCACCATCATCAGGTCCGCCTTCAGCACGAAGTACACGTGCCAGCAAATGGGGTCGTTTATTAGGTAGCTCAAGCGTTGATTCAGCTAGTGATACTAGTGCAAAAGTGGCAGTTTCTAGAAGTTTAAGCGCTCGAGAAAGTTTACGAGAAAGTGCTGCACAAGGTCGGCAAAGTAGTGCTTCTAGTAGTAACGGAGGACAAGGAAATAAAGTGAGTATTTATATGAAATTTAGTATTGTTTTTAAAATTACAAATTAAATGAGCCACGTCGATACATATCTATTTGAAATATCTTTTAAAATAGAAAAATTTTTAAAGGTATTCCCAAAGGCACCAAAACTATCTCCTGGTCAACCATCATTAGCTAGACAAGATACAATTGACGAAGGCGGTGAAATTGAATCATCACCTCCAACACGTACTGAACCTCGCACCACTGCATTAGCTTTAGTAGAGGCTACTAAAGAACGTAACTTAGAACGAGAGCGTGAAAGGCAAATAGAAATGGCATCTTCTAGAGCAACTACTTCAGATACCTACGATACTGGTTTACGTGAACAACCATCAACATTAGCACAACGAGATTTAATAGCAACAGTATTAGATTTAAAAGTTGATGTTCGTTTAGAAATGCAACGTATGTCACAGCGAATTGGACGTATTGAAGACTTATTGAGTGAATTAATTAAAAGAGTACAACAACAACAAGATTCGTCCGGTCAAACTACACCCGGCGATGGTATTGATTCAATACCGACGATACCAGTACAAACATCAACTGGTATAACAACAGATCCAGTTATATCAGTTTCAGCAACATCATCATCATCGTCATCCGTAACATTAGGCGCTGCATTAGGTCTAGGTAATTTAATTGGTACAACAATGCCACCACCAGCTGGTACAACGTCAGCTGGTGCCATGATTTCTTCACCTAATCTACCGTTAAGTTCATCGAATCAACAACAACAAATATTAGGTAGTAGTAGCTCAAGTCATTTTAATCCAGTAACAAGTAGTGGTAACGGTTTAGGCCCATTAATGCTCAAAAAACGACGTTCAAAGAGCAGAAAAGCACCAGCACCACCTAAACAAATGCAATCGACTGCAACAAGTCCTTGTGAACATACAAGACTTTTAGAAGGTGAATTACAATCACAATCGGGACCAAGTGGTTTATCACAAGTTGGTTCAAGTGATAGGACAGCTGGTACTGGTAGTGGTGGTGGTTCTGGCAGTGTAGCACCTGGTAGTCTTGGAAGTACAAGTGGGGGTCGTACTCAAAAACGTGAATTTCTATAGCCAAGGATTTTAGTGCGCCATCAATCGGATAATAGCAGTTTTGAGCAATAGTTAAATAGATTTTTATTTCAAAAATATAAAAGAATTAAAAAAAATTTAAATTTTCTAAAATCTGGCAACATTGCAAAATCAAAAATTTTTATGTAATAATATTGTAAATAAACGAAAAGAATAAAAAAAATTTTGGAAAATTTGTAAATATGTACGTAGAAAGCCAATACAATAAAGCAACGACAAGCAATATAACTATGTAAATATGGATTTGTATATAGAACTTATAACAAAAAGAGAAATTAAGAATTGCACTGATCAAATTAAATTGAATGTTTTCATTGTTGCCATATTTTTATAATAAAAAAATAATTTTTTATTAATAAAAATTGTTTTGTGATCAATTTCTTAGTATCAAATGCTCAAAACAGATGGCGCAATTTTTAGTTTTTAAGGAGTTTCTGTTATTTTCTCGTTTTTTTTTTAACACATATTTATTATATTTCATACACTGTTGCAAAAATTAAAAAAAAAAAATTCGAAATATTTCATAACCTTAAACAAATATAATAAACATAGATTAAAAAAATTTAATTCATAATTTTTTAGTAAAATAAACGTAAACACTTAACCTAGTAAATTTAATTACAAAATAATAGAAAATAAAAAACAAATTAAAGTAACATTCATTCAAACAAAACCGTCTGTAGATGATGGTATTAAAATTAAAAAAAAAATATGTAGGCATAAAATATTCTTGTAAATTTACATAATTGCATCTGCATAAACCGCATATGAGTGAATTAAACGAAACAAACCAATTAATAAACATTACTAAAAGCCTGATACTGATTCGTCGAATAAATTTATATTTGTAGTTTCAAAAAAATTCTTTTTATTGTTACATTGTTATTTACTCGACTACATACAATTATTTTATTATACATATTATATGCTATTTTTTATGTTACTTAAATTTTTTTTTGTTAAATTTTATTTTATTTTTGATTTAAAAAATTAATATTTCAATTTTGAACCCATTTTCATTATACCGAAGAGTTCAAGTTATTAGCAAATCAAATTATGCTAAAACCTAAAAGTTTATATCAAAAATACTCCTTCGAAAAATTCTTTGACGAAAGTTTAAAATATTATTAAAAAATACAAAAGAAAAGAAAATGAGAAATGAAATTTATTTAAGTAAAAAATTTCCAATTTTCAAAATTATATAAAAATTCTTATGATGACAAGTTTCGATTAAATCACTCCCATGTTTTTGTGTACTATTGATTTTGAAACTCAAAAAACAAAACTAAATAGAAAACTCAAAAAACAAATTTAATTTTTTTTATATCAATTTGTACACGTTATTAAAATCAATCACATATTATGTACACATTTACTCAGTAATGGTTATCTTTTTAATGTAAATTTGAATTACATTAAAAGTTAAAAACACTAAAAAATTATTTTTTCAATAAGTTAAATATTTTCTCATATTTGAGGAATTCTGTGTTACGTATCGCATAAACTTTGCATGTCAAATCTATATAAATTGTAATTTCTTAAGTGAACATTAAAAATTAATTATTTTGTACACTCACTAATTATAAACTGAAATTGTAATATGAAATTGTTGTATGAATATCTAAGCCGACATTTCGTTCAACTTGATATTTTGACTTAGTATAACTTTGCAATACTAAAAAATTTAATCTCAAAATTTAGCTGCAAGTAGTATGACCACAGGATAAAATCACAATTTTATTAGTATCCCGATAATATAAACAAAGAATTACGTTATATTGACTACCCTGTTACAATAAGAAATATTCTCTTATGTACGTTTGAAAACAACACTAATCTTGGCATCAAAAATAAGATGGGTGCTGAAAATGTAATATAAATATAATGTTAATGTAAAAAAAGTGAAGAACTGGTGGTATTTGATATTCAATCCAATCAACAACAATATTTCAATTACGTGCCTCCAACTCAATTTCTTTTATCACAATCCGTTTACCTATATTTCTTCTACAATTTTCATCTATGACATTATGTGAACTATCATCTTAAATAGAATTTTACTGGAAACTTATTTACGTAGAAGAAAATTTTTATTTATCTCCCCCCCCCTAAAAAACTTATAGCCTCTCAAAACCAAAAAATGCAATTTTTTGACTATTTACTGTAACGAAACCACAAGCACTTTTTAAGTTGTGCCAACGCAGAAATGTAGTATTAAGTTTTTCCTACCACGACACATCTTTGTTGACCTTTAAAAAAGCAAAGTGGTCGAAACAACTAACAGTTTGTTATCCGTTTTTTCAAATTTTTGATGCCGATTTTCTTCTAGACGATAGGTTGTAAGAAATTGAAATTTTAACAGGTTTTAGATACTAGTAAACAGTTCAAGCTAGAAGAAATTTTTTCACCTCCACTACCTCTCATGTTATCGCCTCTTGAATTTTGTAAAATTTAAATTTTCGACACCTTACATTTCCGAAACAGCAAACTCTTTCAAATTTCTGAAAATGCAAAACACTAACGAAAAATATTGGCCATCAGAAAATATAAATATTTTTCTTAAATCTATTGCACTAATGTTCTAAGTAAACCATTATGATAATGTTTCTTTCGACAGTGTTTTTTTTTTGGTCATCCCAAATGTATGCCATAATTTTTTTGTATATATACTCGTAATTTAGTATATCAATGAAACCAATTTAAATAATGTAGTAGATTGCTTTTAGAAGCAATATTTTCACTCATTGCAGGGAAAAGTATACAAACCATTGGTTTGGCACAACATTATTAATTTTAAATACACCTTTACATTATGTACATGCACACATGTTTATTTTATTACAAAAACTTTTCTTTTATACTTTTCTTTTCATTTAACTTTTTAATCTAATATTTATAATTTACATTATTTATTTATTTTTTTTTGTGTACTTACAGACAGTTTCTGTTCTAATACGAATAATTAATTTCTCATCCACATACACAAAAATACACTTACAATAACAATTCAATTGAAATATTTTTACTAAATAAAAAAAATTTTGTGATATTCTATTAGAAAATAAATAAAAAGTATAATTTAGATAAAACATGTAAATTTAAATAAAATTTGTAAAAAAAAATTTGTAAATTAACAATTTATATAAAAATACTGTAAATCACAGGAATTGAACTGCTTTTAATATAATCGAATTCATCATAACAAAAGTATATAGGAAAATCGATTGTAAACAGCATAATTTATTTTACTACTAGAATTTAATCGATAAATTTTATATTAAAAAGAAAAAAAAAGGAAATAATAAACCGAATTATAAAAAGTTATTTAAACTACAAAAAAATTAAAAATATAAAACTCCATGTCCTTATTATGCTTAAATAACCAAAGTTCTAATGTCTCTTGTAAATAAAAATAATTTTAAGATCTAAAACGCTTTCTGTATATTTGATTTATTAAAAGATTATTAATTGAATTAAATTAAATATCATTAGGTTTTCAATAGCTATAAAGAGCCCTTTGAATTAGTTTTTTAGTTCTATATGTGTAGTTATAGTTTTTTGTACTATATGTGTAATTCACTCAATAGTGCTTATCGAAATCGTCAATATTCTCGCGATTCTGTAACGTAATTTCAATCACTTGACAAACCAAACATTTAAATTTATATATCGTTAAAAAATCTCTATTACAATATACATGTATGTATGTATATTCTTAGAATTTTTTATAATCAGCTCTAGTAAGTCGGAAATGGTGATCCCAAATAATACCAATGAAGATGACTTTCTAAATTTTTCGCTATTGAATATATTTTTCCATTGTGAACTGATTGGTTTAATATGTCGTTTTTATACGCGCATACTCTTTTATATATATAAATATAATTAATACTGCTTTTATATAAATAATATTTACACTTTTAATGTATAATTAACTTGAAAGTTATTTATAAAAAATGTAAAAAAGATTTTCAAACTGGTTTCCTAAACAAAGTTTTGATATTAAATTTCAATCAAAAATGGCGGTTTTACTCCTAATTTAAATTAAAAAAGATCGATTACCATTGTCAATACTTATGGCCATACATACTTTGTTGAACAAGCATAAAACGGATACTTTACGAATTATTTCCGATGTTCTCATTCATAACATATCTCATGTCACTATATTTTTAGAAATGTCCACGTAAATTGTGTACTTAAACAAAGCTATATCAAAAAATGACAAACATCTTTGTTTTCTTCAAACAATATTTTTAAAATTTCAAATTTCAAGGACAGTAACAAGTTATTTGCAATTTTTTAAGTTTTACTACCGTTTTACTGAGATTGACGTTTTCGAAGAGCAAAGTTTAGGTCCTAATGTCAAATGTTACAATTCATAAAATATTCAAAAAATATTTCGTTTGAGTTTAATCACTTTTTTCTAGAAGAAATTGAAATATTTACCCTTGTTATGATCGGCGAAGCGAATAGCTAGGCGAATCGAATGACATTTTAAATTATAATCGGAGAATGCTTTCATTCGCCATAACCAAAATGTTTCTACCACAAGATATCAGATAACCTACCAAAAATGATGAGGTAGCACCACACATATTGTCTATTGTATTTTTCTTTATTGTAAATAAGTCTTTGTATTTTTGCAAAAACAATTGAATTTTCCTATTTTGCAATGTCGGAGTTGTTGCCCATTAATTTGTTTAAATGCTGGAATTGTTTTTGGTTCGTTTTTCAACGTTTAAATTGATATTAATCAATATTTTTACAATAATTTGTAGAATTTTGTGAATATACTTTGCAGATAGTTTAAATTTTTCCATTATTTCACTATAAATGCGATAATATTCAACAAAAAACACTTATGTATTATTTTTATTTTTAGTTTCATTCACCAAGCTTGTCACACAAAATTTTCACTCGACAGATTTGGATGCCCATTCTCCTAAAATATAGGTGGATTCGCTTATCATAATACCAAAAATTTATATTCACCAAAAGTTTCATTTGCTTCGCCGATCATAATAAATGCCATAATATCTAAAGTCTATTCAATAAACTTAAATTTTAATCAATTCTAATTAAAAAAAAATATAGATTCCTAATATTAAATTACATGTTAGAATCTTTAAGGAATCTTCCTTAAAAAAGATTCTTTAAAAATTCCTTAAAATTTTATAAATTTTCAATTTTTTAATAAAAAAACTACTATCACCAAACTTTCCCTGAATATTATGAACAATTTTATTGTATTTGGCCCACCGGATATTATTTTTTTCTATACAACAACTTTCCTATTTTCATAAATCTATATCTTTATAGAATTAATTTTAGAAAAAGTAGTTTTAACAAAAGATATATTTCAAATATAGAACAGAACCCTCCTATCTACTTATTTTTTTACATCCCCTATAAATAGTAAAAAGCTCTATAAAATTATTTGCAAAGATTTAGTTTTCTAATTACGAAATTGTTTAAGCAAAACTTATTTATATTAAAGCAATATTAATTCTTCTTCATTTTTAATAAATTAAATTACTTTTAAATTTACTATTTTAATAAATAATAAACGACTAAAACTATAGATGAATCAAAAATTTCGTGTAGCAGTCCAATTTTGTGCAAAAATTTGAAAAAACGATTACTCTTGAGATTCAAGAGAAATGAAGAGAAAAATTTATAATTTAGAATTAATTCTCTCATTACTTAACTTAAAGAATCGGACATATGACAGAAAAAAAATCTGACATGAACAGCACATAGCCCATCGCACTGTTAAAATGTTGGATAAAGTTATGAAATTTCCAATAAATATTTCAAATTCGATACTTCAGTTAAAGTATTTAGAAAAATGAAAATTTGGTTTTTGGTAGAGATTCATTTTCCGTGATATGATTTCATTGCAAAGCCTCTCAGCTAATTTCATTAAGAACAAGAACTCAAATATTAAATTTTAAGAAGTTCTGTCAATTAGTTGCTGAGATATGTTTAAATATGTAAAATCGGTATCTGTTTCGTAGTCCCGATATTCCCAAAAAAATTTACTGGTTCATCTTTTTAATATCCAGATATTAAATATGAAAT